AAAAAAAAAAGATATATTTAAAAAAAAAAAAAAATATATATATATATATATATATATATATATATATATATATTCAAACTAATTTAATTTTATCTGATTTTAAAATGAGAGAAACTATTTAATATGATACCCCATAAATTTTCGATTTAGAGATTATATAAATAAAAATAATTATATTTTGTGAGAACATTTTTAGAATTTCCTTTTTAATAAGATTTGGTTTTAGATATTTTATTCAATAAGAGAGTCTTTGTAAATCTTTTTAACCTTTTATCTATTTTAATTTACTTTTATCATATTTATTTTTAAATTAAAATTTTTAAAATCAATTATCAATAATTAAAATTAAAATAACATTATTTTATTATCCATTAAACGTAATTGTCTCATAATACAAATTTTTTAGCATAAATTATAAATATAATTTATATTTTTAATGTGGAGAAAAGATAAATGCTAGAAAGGGGAGTTAAATAATGTATATAAAAAAACTCACACTTTTAATATAGTGAAGTAGTAATACTAGTTAGATGGAATGCAAAGAGAAGTCAGATGGAACACTAAGTATTTTTATATCGGTTCATTTCAACCAATGAGGCTACGTCCAGTTCTTAATTCAACTAGATTAAGTTTCACTAACTTTCAACAAAGATCAAAGTATTCCTTCAATAAATCACTTTTGGTTCAACCCTAAGTATTATTTGACTTGTATTTTCAAGCAACTATCCAAATATTATTTTCACAACAAATCTCTCCAAGCTTAATAATCAAGTATTCTTTTCAACTAAGTCTCTCCAAATTCAATCAAGTATTGTTTTATAGACAAGTTTCTCTAGGCTCAATTTTATAACAATGGTTATAAAAGTTATAGGAGTGTTGTGTTTGTCTCACTTAAACATTATACAACCAGTATAGAGTAGTAAGCTTTTACAAGAAAGAATAAAGATTATACACAAGTATAATTTACAAAGAATGCATATTTGATGTTTTTGTACAAGTACTGTATCTATATGTTCTATCTTCTTTCTTAAGTTTCGAATCTTCTTATACAGTAGCTTGAAGAAAATGACTATTACGATACTTTGAGTCCAACTCACAAGTTTATTTTCAACTTTCCTTGAGATGTGAGGTAACCATTGACTCATTTAATGCAAACATTAAATACATTTTATCAAATGGACCTCTAATTTAATCAAGGAAGTTACTTATAATCTTTCCATACCAAATGAAGTTTATTGAAGCAATGTCAGTATAGAGCAACAATAACAACAACTTTATCTGTTTTTCTTCGTGATTTTAAGGATCTTTGTCCTTGGTCATGACGGAAAGCATGATCTTGTTTTTTTAATAGATTTGTGAGTCTCAAGATGATTTTTTAGTTCAATCTATTAAGGAAGATATTCAAATAAATATTGTTGTTAGTCTTCATAAATAATGAACATCTAATGAACATGAGACAAATTGTATGTTTCGTCTGATTCACACCGTCTTACAAATAATTTGTGTCTTACACTTTATCTGATAAACATTTTCGGAAACATTTGCAAAGGCATTTTTTGTTATAAAAATATTTTGTTTGTTAACATTAAAACTCCAAAATTTAAGAGATTCAAGATCGTCGTTTGACTTAATATTTAAAAATATGTATATATACAAATTTAAATATAATATAATATATATTCAAATATAATATTTATTTATACATTTAATTTATTATAAATTTTAATTATATACAATAAATATTTAACTTATATAGTGCATAACTAAAATACTAGTATTACTATTTGTTTTTTTAAATAAAAGGCTAAACATACAAGAACATTAGAGTGTTTGCACGGTGGAGAAAGAAAAGGAAATTACACTCAAAAGGATGAAAACATTTTAAAATTAAAATAATTATAATATTTATTTTAAAAGGCTAATTAGTTAAGGACTGAATTAATTAAAAGTTATTTATTGAATAATAAAATAAATGATAGATTAAAGAGTAAACTTCCAATTTGGTCCTTAAAAGTTGATAAATGTGATTGATAAGTCCCTATAAGATTTTTTTGTAACATCTAGGTCCGTAAATTTTAGCTTTGTTATGAAAGTTAATTCTTCTATTATACTTAATTATTAAATCTATTAGTTTCATAACTTGTCAATAGTTAATTGTCACATTGATACTTATTCTCTCTCCCAATTGACATGCGACAATTACAAAC